ACCCTTCAGAACATTGTGACGCTCCTGAAGGCTAAGCCCGAGGATTATAGACAGGTCAGCAAAGGCCTGCCGCGTCGGCTGGCCGCCACGGTGGCCACCATGCGAGCTGTGAACTACTGACCTCGTGCATCCTCTGAAGTGATAGGGCTGGTGTCTGTGGCCACAGTGACTCTCAGATCGAGTTCCCTCTCACATCCACCAGCAGTGGACAGAGTTTGCTCTAAAAAGACTTGGTTCTTTTATATGATCAAGAAAAGGTTATAAGCTGGTGTGGTGGCCCCGCCTGTAACCCCAGCACTCAGGAGGCCAAGGCGGGAGAATCTTGAGTTCCAGGTCAACAACCTGGGCTACATTGTAAAACCTTGTCTCCAAAAAAAAAAAAAAAGAAAAAGTTTTAAATGAGAGGTAAATATTTATTACTGAGCACTTTTCCGATAATGTTTTAAATGATCTCATCTTTAAAATGGAGTTACTAAATGCTGAAATGAAAGAGGCGGTTTCCTTCTCTCCCTTTCCAGTGAGGTTTTGGGTGCCTCCTGCACGCGGTGCGGTGCTGACCATGCTGGGGCTGTGCTTGGCTGTGTGGGAGGGAGATGTGATCAGCAGATAAACAGTGGAGTTTGTCAGGAGCAAGTGCTGGAGCAGGGTGGCGGTGCATATGGAGGGGAGCACTGGGGCTGTCCATAGTCAGCCAGGGAACTGCAGGAGGGAGCAACATGGAAGGCACAGGGAGTCAGGGTGAGGAAGCGGGTCGAGGTCATCTGGGCTTTTGCAGGCCATGTGAGGATCTGGGCCTTTACATTTTCCTTTTTTAAAACCTACGGGATGATTTGGGTTTCCTCCACCTTCTGTCAACAGCATCTGTCCCTGTTAAGATGGTAAGTGGCTTATAAGTAACAGAAAACATCATCTGTTAATTTTTGTCAGTGAGGAGAAGTCAGAGGGTGGGGTCTCCTGGTACTGACTTAGGACTGGATGGAGTCAGGAGCAGGCCCTGCTCTGTGATCATGACCTTGACCTAGTGTGTGTGGCCATGGCATCTGGCTCCTGTGTGACTCCTGCATGCAGGAAGACGAGTGTTAGGGGCAGATGCAAGAGCCCAGTGTTGCCCTACCAGTCCCTGCTGACTTCTGAGGCCACATTGGTTATTTCTTGGTCACAAGTGTACCCCAGCTGCAAAGGATGCTGGGAAAGTAGGGAACAAGCATTGCTCAGCCTGGCACTACTGCCATTATGGGTCAAATAGCTCTTTGTCTTAAGGCTGTCCCATGCTTGTAGGGCATTTAACGGGGAGACTGGCCACTGCCCACCACTAGGTGCTACTTGTAGCCCTAGCTGCAACAACCAAAAGTGTCTCCAGAAATTGTCAGGGGCAAATTCACTGCAAGCTGGGAACACTGACCAGTCAGGACTGATTTCCTGGACTGGAATGATTGCTGCCCTGAAAAAGATTTTTTTTGTTGAGTCACAGCCCAGACTGACCTGGAACTCATGGTCCTCCTGCATCTGTCTCCTGAGTGCTGGGATTATAGGTGTGTACGACCACACCCTGCTAAAATTGGCATTTTCTTGGCAAGGAATGGCAGTGGTGTCCCTCACAGGCCATTAATCAGCATTGAACTCCTCCAGGGGCCCAGCTGGATGCTCACAGCAGCTTTGCCACAGCCTTGGAAGGCAGAGGTTGCTCAACTACCATGTGGCAAGGACTGTGACATCTGCACTCCTGATCCAGTGCCAGAAAGCCTTCCTTGTGCATGGCCTGGAAGGCCTGTGGCAGGACCCTCATCCTGGGGGCAACTCATAATGGTGTCCAACTCTAGGATCATTTGTTTCCTTTTGCAGCACTGGGGTTTGAACTCAGAGACTATACCTTGAGCCACTCCACCAGCCTCCCCCCGCCCCCCGGGCCCCTTTTTTGAGATAGGCTTTTTCAAGATAAGGTCTTTGCTTCCAGGATCACTTGAAGAGCCATTGAGACACAATGGGAGGCAATGACATACATGAGTTCATGGTCAGTGGCCTCAGGGTCCTCCAACCTCTGTAACCTAGCTTCTCTTACGGAGTAGAGGTGGGAATTACAGAATGTCATTTTCTGGGCACTTTGGGCATAGATCAGGGAGAGGGATGCTGGCTGCCTGGCTCGGAGCCTGCCTGTAGTGACAGGGCCATTGTCCCACACCTAGCCCTCCGTGTTTCCCAAGAGCAAGGATGGCAAGATGGTGCCCACTGTCAGCCTCATCCCAGTCTCACACATCCATAGATGGCTCCAAAATGTCTCTGAACAGAGCCTCTTTCAGTCTATCAGGGACCATCTTCCACACACCCTCTCAGGGTTATCCTCAGTGTCCTCAGGACAAGGTGCAACCTGGTCAGATCCAAGTTGAGCCTCCCCCTGGGACATGGAAGGAAGATCCAGGAGAAGGTGAGCCGAAGAGCTGTTTGGAAAGGACAGTCCACGGAAGGGAGCATCAAACCCGAAACCCCAGCTCTGGGAGGCCCTCATGCTGGCTCTCTCAGGCTTCCTATGACTGAACAAACTCCCTCCTTAGCTTCAGAGAGCTCCCATGGAATGGAGTGTAGGTAGTGAGGTGCGATGCAGAGGACGTGTAAGCGCTGGACTCCTGGGAAGGTCTGGTGTGGTGACCTCTGGCACAGGAAGGTGAGGTCAGCCCTCAGCTTCCTTACTGTCTTAGTCCATTTTCTGCTGTAATGGACTGCCACGGTGTGTGCAGTTTATAAAGAACAGAGATTTATTTGGTTCAAGGCTCTGGAGCTGGAAGTCCAAGGTCGCCCGTGTCTGGTGAGCACTTTGCTGCTGTACTATTACATGGTCCGGGTATCACGCAGCAAGACACAGCAAGCGTGCTTACTCTTCCTATAAAGTCACTAATGCCATCGTGGGGACCCCACTCTGAGGACTTTATTCCCAGTTACCTCCCAGCAGCCATGGAGTTTGGGGATTAAGTTTGAACACGAGCCTCACGAGAGACATTCACACCATGGCAGTCGCTTACTAGAATAGTGACTTTGGGCACTGTAATTGGCTCTCCAGGCCTCAGTTTACATCAGTATAAAATGGGATGATAGTACTTTTCCTTGGTTATGAGAATGAAATGAAATGAGACGTATGAAGCAGTGGGCATTGTGCCGGCCTGTAGTAAGTGCATGAAACAATGTAGCCATCGCTTAACAATGACAAAGGGTAACAGTGAGTGTCACCCTGCTCATAATAAAGCGGAATTCCTAGTAGTAAGAGCGGTAACCGCCAAGTGTTGTCCTTTTGCAGAGTAGCTGGGCCCGGAGCTGGGAGACCCCACCTGCCCACCTAAGCCTCTTGCCATGCTGCCCTGACCCGGTGGCAGCCCTTCCTCCACAGGTGCCACCTGGGCACCTGACGGAGGCCAGCTTGGTCCCGGCAGATCAAAGAGCCCAGCTGGTCTCCACCACCCGGGCTGGGCCCCTGGAGGCCAGGTGGGAAAGCCAGAGCACCTTTGGAACTGCAGGGCTCCACAGTTCTTCACACCAGCAGATCCCATTCTCTGAGAGCAGCTCTGGTGTCTCTCTGGGAGCTGTTAGGTTTGCTATTCTCAGCAATAAAAGTCTGGGACACTCATTTAAACTTGAATTTCAGAAAAGCAATGATTTATTAGTGGAATATGTCCTGAATATTTCATGGATGTACTTATACTACAAAATTAATTCATTGTCTATCTGAAATTCAAATTAAGTGAGTGACCTGAATTTTATCTGCAGCCATGGACCACCCGTCTTAGATTCTGCAGGGGACCAAAGTGGCTTTGGACTGGGCAGGTGACTTTGGGTCTAATATCAGCAGCCTATCCAGCTGGCTACAATGATTGTTTCAGAGACAGGCATGTGACCCAGTCATGGACCAATGAGTGTCAGCCTGGGGGGCAGGCCATGCAAAGGGAGTGGCCTTGGGGAGCAGAGAGACTGAGTCATTTGGATTGCTTGAGACCAGTTTGCTTAAGCCCACTTGAGTTTCTGTCTGCCCTTGCAACCCAAAGAAATACGTTGGGTGTCAATGTAAAAGACATCAGGTGCTGGGTGTGGTGGTGTACACCTGTAATCCCAGCTACTCGGGAGGCTGAGGTAACAAGGAAGGGAGAGGAAAAGGAAAGAAAAGCCAGGAACCTTTTGCTTTAGGACCAACTTGAGAGGAATTTCCAGGATCACAAGCGAGAGCTGCCCTTGACCTGTCTGGGGCCCTTTGCTCTCAAGCCAGTATGGCTTCCCTTTTAGTCCCTCTGGCTACACCACCCAGTGAGACAAGAACAAAGCTCCACTTGATTCCTCTCTTCTCCCCCTTCTCCTCTCCTCTTTGTTCCTCCTTTCCTCTCTTCCTCCCTCCCTTCCTTGACAGGTCTCACTGTATACTTCAACTGGCCTAAAACTCTGTCCTCCTACCTCGGCCTCCTGAGTGCTGGGATTACAGGTGTGCACTACCACACCTGGCTTCTACTTTTATTTTCCAGAATGAAGAATGTGCCACCTGGCGGTACCCATGCCTAATGCTTCCCCTGTTCACCACCGCTGCCCTCCCCAAGTCTGTTCCCAGAGGCCAGCCAAGGCCATAGAAGAAGGCCTTTATTCTGGGAAGACAGCATGGCGCACACTCCAGTGCATCTCTGGGGCGCAGCACAGGGAGAGAAGTGGCTGGTCACAGGAAAGGGTATTCCGGGTCTCCTGAGCTAGAGGGACTATTGTAGGCCAAAGGTCAGGACAGGCAGGGGTGTGGGCAGGAACCAGGTGAGAACACAATTTCTCTACCACCATCTTTGTTTTTTTTTTTTTTTTTTTTTTTTAACAGCAATTGCAATGGATGTACCAGCATTTTGACCCCACAGAGTCCTGGGTCTGCACTGGCCAGTCACTGCTGGCCTCTGTGTTGGGAAGAGGACAGCCTCCAGTGAGGCACTGGGCAGTGTTGTGGCCTCTCAGCTTCAAGTTCACAAGCTGCCCAGGGTGGGCAGGCAGGGCTAGATGGCGTCACCCTCACCGTCGGACTCCACGGTGTCCTGTGGCTGCAGACGCAGGGAATCATAGTTGGGGGGCGGGGTGCCTGGGATGGGGTAGGCTGCCGTGTCGGGCTGGAAACCGAAGTTGGTGTGGGCCTCCACCAGCTCAGCCACGGTGGGCGGCGGGCCGGCGTAGGGGGACTGTGTTCGTGTTCGTCTCTGTCGCAGGCCTCTGATGAAGGCCACCAGGTTGATGATGCTGATCCACACGGAGTCAATGATGATCTCCCGAATTCAATGAGGCACAGCACCGAGCCACCCATCCAGAAGCCAAACTGGCCACCCAGATTCGAGAGCAGCCAGACAATCTGTGGGAGGCAGGGAGCAGAGCATCTGCTTGGGGGTCAAGGCAGAAAGGGGAGCGGGTGACGCTCTCAGCCTGGGAATAATTCAGGACTGCTTTAGGGATCTTTCTGTTCCCCACCTCTGGGCGCAGGTGTTGAAGGGGGCAGAAGCCCCCAAAACTCACGTTGTTGGCTGGGGATTCTTCAATGGTTCTGTAGTTGAACTCTTGGAAGTAGATGTTGAGCTTGACGGCTCCCTTCCTGCAGGAGGCAGTGACTATGGCCTCCATCCCTGGGATGGGGACTTTGCCTGGACACACACGCACAGACACGCACACAGACACGCACAGACACACACAGATACACACAGACCCAAACAGACATAGGCACACACAGACGCATCCCGGAAGGGCAGCCGAGGTCTCCCGTGTCCACTCCCAGGAGCACTGAAGTCCAAAGCAGAACTGGAAGTGCTACCCTTCCCACCCACTCTGGGCCTCGGAGCAACAAAAGGCACCTCTGCCAGGCACCCATCACGTGGACCTGTTTTTGAACCTCATGTCTGCCCTTTTCCTAAGTCCATCTTGGCCTGCAACGGCCCCAGAGATCAGCTCTGAGCCCACCTCTCCCGGGTCCAGGGCAGAGGCCCCATATCCAGTGCCATGTGGTCGTCAGGGACCCTGGGACAGAGTTGTGTCTTCTGCCTGGACATCTTTGCCTGTTCTCCTTTGTCAGAACAGGTCCTGCTTTTCCAATGTGACCTGCCACATAGACCTCTCTGTGTCTCAGGTGCACCGAAGCCCCTCCCTGCTATTCCTGAAGGTGGGGGCTCACGTACACCCACCCTCCAAAGCCCCTTTTGCATTTATGTCACACGCGCGCGAGCTTCCTGGCAGTATGGGCCTTGTGTCTTTCTTATGCTGAAAGGTGGGATGGATGGAAGGCTGGGGGGAGGCTGATGTATGGGCGACAGATGGAGCACTGTGCTTCTCCCTTAGGACCTGGAGGTCCCGGTGACTTTTACTCCCAGGAGTCCCTCCTCTGGTTTTGCACCTGGATCTGACCAGCCTGAGAGGATGTCTGGACAGACACTGGCTGTCCAAACCCCACGCCTTTGTCCTCATTCCTAGTCCTGCCCACATTCCTCACCTGCTTATGGTGAGGTTGGTGCTTTGGTCCAACTCCTGGGACAGGACGTGGAAAATCCAATCCTAGAACCCAAGGAGGCAGCTGAGTGTACGAGGAAGGCACAGTGGGAGCCTGGTTGCTGTGAGGGGAAGAAGAGCCCAGGTCTCCAGCCTCTTTCGTTGCAGGCCCTGCCACTGTGTCCCCAGCTCCTTCCTGCCTTGGGCCCTGGCATTGACTGTCCCCTCTTCCCAGAATCCTCCCTGACTGCCCAGGGAGGGCCTCTGGGTTTCAGCTCAATTGCTACCTTTTTTTGTTTGTTTTTTGGTGGTACTGAGGTTTGATCTCAGGGCCTTGTGCTTGCTAGGCAGGGGCTCTACCACCTGATTCTCGCCCCCAATCCCTCAGAAGCCACGTTTTAAAGGAGGTCTTCTGACCTCCCCCCTGTGGAAAGTGGCTCCCCTGTTCCTCCCACAATCCCATCTTTCCTTCACAGAGGTGGCATTTCTTTGCATGCATTGCCTCTCTGACTGGGCTGTGAGTGCCATGGGGAAGGACTGTGCCTCTTAACCACTGTTGCATGCCTAGCATGGTGGGGAATGTTGGTGGAGACAGAGAAGGAAAGAAAGTAGGAAGGGAGGGAGGGAGGAATAAAATGAGGAAGAAGGGAAGGAAGGACACAGAAGGGGAGGGACAAAGGGAAAGGTGCTCTTTCCAAAGTCCCAGACCTGTCCTTAACCCAAAGGTGGGGGATCTCCACCGTCTCACCTCGGAGGCCTCTGAGGGCCAGTCAGCCATGGAGATGGTCATCTTATACTGGGTGTCACTGTAAAAGAGAGCTCTGTTGCTGTCCTAGCAGTAGGACAAGTGGCCCTGCCCCACTCTGCTCCACCCCCAAAGTGCCCTCTGTCCCCAGGCCACACTTACTTGCAGGACTCCTGGCACGTGCTGATGCACGTCTCTCTCTGAGCCACGCTCATCTGCAGGTCCAGGTAGCAGTAGGCTGGGCAGGGGAGGGAGGTGGTGAAGAGCCTGGGGGCGTGGGGACCCCTCTCCCCACGAGCCTCTGGCTGGCCCCGCCGTTCTCCTTGCCCTGGACCACCTCAGGGAGTCTCGGTCCAAGCTCTCCTGTTACGGGAATCACCTGCCCCCTTCCCCACCCCTACCTGCAGCCATTTTGCCCCAGCCCGGCCACGGTCGTGCCCCACAAGCTCCCTAGGCTGGGCACTGCAAGTCAGAGCTTTCTCTGTGATGCTGCCCCCATCCCTGCCCAATGGACAGGGTTCTGAGCTCAGGTACAAAGGGAGGAGAGAGGGGAGGAATGAAGTTTGCCCTTGGCTGTACATCATGGTGGTGACCACATCTGGGGACTCTAGTCACCAGGGCTCCCAGGCCTGGACTCCAGCTTGGTATGGACCAGTGACTTCAAGTTTCAAGCCCACAGAGGCCACCTTTTCTCCCAGTCCAGTACTCCGCAGTTAGGGACACACACACCGAAGATGGATCCATGTCCCTGTGGGTGCATGCACACGTGTACGTGTGTACCAGGCTGTGCACACGCTGATGCTGGAAGCAACGTGTGCCCGTGTGTAAACACACACTAGCTCGGCAGTCAGAGCTCTGTGCACCGAGACACAGACACACGCCTGACTTCCACATGTGCATTTGAGAACACGAGAGCATGTACACACATGTACACACCCACAGTCCAGGCACTTAAGTGACACATGGACACCTGTCCACCAGGACACTCACTCCCACACCATGTGTTTCAAGTGCACGCTTTGGGCCACCAGGAGGAACCAGGAGTTGGTATTCCCACAGTGGGGACCTGGGAGGGGTTGTCAGAGGGACTTGTGGCCTGAGGAGGGGGTGTCCTATGCATGTCTTGGGCAATTATCTCTCCCCTGCCCTGTGGTCAAAGCCTTGGCTGGCAGGGACCCCAGCTCATGGGACCCCTGCTCACCCCAGTCCGGGAAGTCCTGGTCATTGCAGTATTTCTTCCCGGGAGGCAGTGGGTACAAGTAGTGACCACAGCTGCAGTTCTGGATCATGTGGTCTTGGAAGCAAGAGTGGAGACAAGCCTGGGGGTGGGGAAGGGAACACAGACATGGCTGGTGATGTCCCCATGCCGGGGTCCAGAGGAAGAAGCCCAGAGAAGTTAAAAGTCCATGCTGGAGGACCTGGAGGAAGTGCCTGTCAGCTAAGAAGCCGTGGCCATAGACCCTGCTTTGGGCAGCTGTCCTTCTGAGTTGGACCTTATAACTGATTCTCGGGTCAGCCCCCAGCAGCTTCAGGTCCCCTCATCTGGAGCTGGGTCCCACAGATGGCAGTAGCTTTTTCCAAATAACGAAGCTGACACAGAGGCAGCTCCTATGGGCTGCCAACCAGCTCTCTCAGCTCTCTGCATACACAGAGCAGAAAGGGATGGCAGGTGGGCAAGCTGCCTTGGAGCTCCTTCCTCTCTGAGGGGATGGGGGAAAGCAGAGGATGACCTTTGACCTCTCAAAGCTGACATGAGCAGCTTGTTGGTCTACAGACTGTCCCCTGGAGGCAGGGAGAAGAGGAGGGGACACAGGGGTCCATCACTCTGGAGATTGGATGTGATGAGTCTCTACTTCCTAGGCCCCAGCATACTGGGTGTTCAGGTCACTCCTGCTTGGTTTCAGTCTACTCAGGGGCCAATTATATATCCTGGGGCAAGTTAGTAACCTCTGAGCCTCAGTTTACTCATGGTGAGATGGGTGATAAGCACACCCGCCTCCCCAGGTCGGAGGGGTGCAGTGCTGCACGGTGCCCAGTGAGCTGCTGATACAATCGGTTCCTCCCCTGTCCACTTCCCAGGTGCTGGCTCTGCTGCCGTGGGCTCCTGGCTTCCACCCCTACTGCTCCTCTTGGCCCTGCCTGTCCCTCCCAGAGGCTCCCTGAGCCCCTACTCCTCTCTCCAGGCTGCTGAGCCTGTCCTTCTCTTCTTCCCAAGGGGCCTGTTGGGTGCCTGGGTGCAGGAGGTTCAGTGACACAACCAAGAAGAGCCAGAGCTGGGACCAGAGGAGGTGGGGGGCGGTTAGAGGCTCCAACTTGGAGTAACTTGCACACTTCTGGACTGCATCATCCCGTCTGGAAGGCAGGGATGGTCCCCATCTCTGTGGCTGAGGCTGGAATGAGGGGAGAGGGGGCCCAGACTCTTCCTGGCTGGGGGTGGGGGTGGGTGGGCAGATGTCAGAGCTCTCATGGCAGAAAGAACCCACCAAGTCAAGAGGTGACCAAACCAGACTGAGTGTGGGTGGGGCAGCTGGGCAGGTGGCTGGAAAGGTCACTTTCCTGTGACTAAGGCAAAAAGGAGAGCCACTCCTAGCTCAGGGCTCCCACACATGGAGGCAGGAACAAAGCTGCTACTTTATTGCCTGTTTCCTTGTCTCCTAGTGCAGGGAGAAAAAGTATTATCATGTCATTTTTGTCATCCCTGCCAGGATTCAACCTGTCCTCTCCAGAGGACTGGTTTTGGGCACAAATGGTTCTGGGTCAACCCCAGAGATCAGGACAAGAGGAAAGCCCCCAGTTACAGCAAGGGAGGTTGAGGGCAGATACAAAGAAGAACTTCCCAGGTAAATAGATGAGGCATTCAGACTGGGGGCTGTAACTGTTTCCTCATTCCTGAACCAGGACTGATAATAGCACGTGTGTCCTAAGTGTTGTGAGGACCAAGTGATGTCATCCATGCAAAACACAGAGTGCCCGCCCAGCAGTGGGAGCCTGCTGAGATTTCTGTGATCAGAGATGCTGCTGTTGTTAGGCTGCTGTGGCCTCATGGGAGTTGAAGGGATCTACTGATGACATAATGCATAAAAGCCCCTAGCACAGTGTCTCACACAGTGACAACTGATAATGGTCACTACTGGCTTTGTTTCCTTCTCAGGAGACCCCAGAATGAGATCCCTTATAATCCTGGGTATCCCCAGGGCACACCTGCCCAAGAGAGGATAAGAGGTGGCCAGCCCTGGGTGACAACTGAGAATTGGTTCTGCAGCCCCAGGATGCCCTGTGTCACATAAAAACACAGCCGGGCCAGCAGTGCATGGCACTAGCCCTCCCAGTAACCCCAGGGTCACCAGGCCTGCGCAGCCTCCCCACCTGGATGGAGTAGGTGGTGTTGTAGCTGCTGTAGAGGTTTTGGATGGCGACGTCAGAGCCGTTCATGGTGCACCGGCTGTAGGGCTCACCCTTGCGCTGTAGCTTGTCCTGTGTGGAGAGGCTGCCCATGGGGACACTTGGCCACCCCTGGGAGTCCCTCTGTACTTCCCTCCCATCCAGGGAACGGATGCCCAAAAGGGCTGCAGAACAGGATCCAGTGTGCCAGAGCAAGGCCAGGTGAAGGGCTGGGAGGGAGGTCAACCCTGGACAGGCTTCCACTGTTGGCTCCCCGGGCTACCCTGGGAGCTGCCATACCACCAGCACCCCGATGGACGTCTCCGTGCCCGACATGGCATAGATGCCCTCCTCTCGGATAAAGGGGTATGTCCTCTGCTCGTGCAGCATCAGCCGTGCCCCAGCCGTGGATGCCAAGAAGGGGACATAGTCTTCCTGATTGATGTCCAAGATCAACTTCAGACCTGTGGGAAAGTGGGGCAAGGGCCACTGAACCCACTCCCTGAGGCCGAGGGGAGCCCCAGCACCCCCTTGTTCAAACTTCCTCCAGCCAAGGGGTCCCACAGGGCCTGCCAAGGAAGCTGACCCAAGCCAGACTCCAAACACTTCGCCTCCTCCAGAGCCCCGGTGCATAGTGTCCTTTCTATGGCTCATCCTACACAGCCCTGCAGGTGTCCTCTTTGTCGCCATTCAGTTTCTGTGCCCCTTCCTGCTGCTGGGCCACTGCAAATGCTGTGCCCTCACCCTGGCGTGTGGTCCTCACCCACACCCTTCACCTCCTCTCTTCCTCAGATCACAGCCCAAGTGTCACTTGCTCCAGAAGCTTCCTGACAGCAGACCTAGTCCAGGGCTTGCCTTGTACCCCTGGCTCTCTGGAACTTTCCTCCCAGGACCTGCCACACAGGCATTTCTTTTCTCATTGTCTTTTATGTATGTATTTTATTTTTAAAATTTTTCTTGGCATATTATTGTTGTAGTGGGGGTACATTGTGACAATTAGGAAAGTTCTTACACTATATCATAGTCGAATTTGCCCCCTCCATCATTCTCCTTTATCCCCTCTCTCCTATTCCTGGAATAGTTTCAGCAGGTCTCATTTTTCCATTTTCATACATGAGTACATAATAGGCTCACCACATTCACCCTCCTACACCCTTTCCTTATATCCTCCCTCCTCCCACTGCCAGTCCCCAGACAGGACCTGTTCTCCATTTTTGTAAAAAAAAAAAAAGAAAAAAGAAAGGAAGACATTTTTATTTTGTTTAAGATAGCTACTAGCTACACAGGGAGTTTCCTCGTGACATTTCCATGTGTGTATGTATTATAACCCAAGTTGGTTCATCTCCTCTATTTTTCTCCTTTCTACCTTAGTCCCCTTCTTAGGAGGATTTCAACAGGTTTAAAAATTCTGTATTTATTCTGGTATAGAAAGTACAGCAACCGTATTCACCCTCTTTACCTCCTTCTTTTGCTCTTCCTCTCCCATTACCTCACTGTCTTCTTCCTTTCCCACTTAGCTGTTCCCTTCTCAAGGGCAGGGACCAGATCTGGTGTTCTGTGCATGTGCTTCTGAGCTGGGTGGGCACTGGAATTGAGTCTCTGCTTAGGACAATTGGGACCGATACTTACTGAGCACTCAGTGTGTGCCGAGTGCTGTGGTGAAGGTATTTTGTCAGGATCTCATCCTGTAGCCCAGGCTGGCCTCAAACTATCAATCCTCCTGCCTCTGTTTCCCAAGTGTTGGGATTACAGTCATGGACTGCCATGCCTGGCTTCTATAAACCCTTCTCAAAGGGACAGGCCAATGTGTCAGTCTCCAGGGAAGGGCATCTGCCATCAACCTCATCCTGCTGCCTCTCTGCTTTTCACTCCTTCACCCTCTGTCTCTGGGATTTTCTTTCTTCAAGAACTGCGTAGTGGGTCAGGCGTTATGGCTCACTCTACAGCCTAGCTTGGGAAGTAGAAACCAGGAGGACTGCAGTTAGAGGCCAGCCCAGACAAAAAGTTAAGGAGATCCCATTTCAACAAAAACAAGCCAGGCACATGCCTGTAGTCCTAGCTATGCAGGCGGCATAGCAAGGAGGAGGAGTGGGATCCGAGGCCTGTCTGGGCAAAGAGCAAGGTACCTTTTTTGAAAAATAACAAACAATAAAAGGGCTGGTGGAGTGGCTCAAGTGGTAGAGCCTGCCTGGCAAGCGTGAGGCCCTGAGTTCAAACCTCAGTATCACCCCCTCCCACCCCCAAAAAAGCACTATATAGCAAGGTGGGCACGGTGGTGCACATTTGTAATCCTAGCATTCCAGAGGCTGAGGCAGGATTTCAAGTTCCAAGTCACCCTAAGCTACACAGCAAGATCCTGTCTCAAAATACAAAAAACAAAACAAAACAAAAAAGCACCCAAACCAAACCAAAAACAACTCTCCCCCTCCCTCACCAAACAAGCAAACCAAACCAAACCAAACTACAGAGCAGAAGAGCAGGGTAAGTGCCACATAGTAACTAGGTGATTTTCCAAAGGTTCTGAGACTTTGCAGCTTCTCTCCTTCCCTTGTGGTGGGCTATCACCTACTCCCTGACTCCCCACTCTCAAGGAGAGCTATACCCTGTGTCACACTGTGTCACCACGTGCTAGTCTCTGAAGGGGGAAACTGAGGCTTTGAGAATAAGCTCATGAGCTCAGGCTCATTGGAGAGTAATCTGGAGCTGGGATTGGCCAGGCACAGGCTTGAGCTCTTGATCTTGACTGTGTTGCTTCTCAATCCTCACTCTACTCATCAGCAAAATGGGAGCACAGTCATACCCTGGGGATCTGAGCATCGGGGAAGGGAATAGCTGGGAAAGCACCTGCCTGGTCTCTCCTGGCAAGTGACAGAGGCTCGATAATGGCCCCAGGCCCTTTGTGCTGAACTCAGTCTAACTCCCAACAGCAGACAGTCTTTCAGCCTCATGACTCTGGCCCCTGGGTCAATCCAGACTTACCAAACTCAGTCCCGGGGTTGGCAGAAGGAAGCGCCTTCTCTGTCATGCCCCAGTTGAAGATGTAGCAGTTGCCATAGTCAGGGTAGAAGATTGGGGTGAAGTTCCTAAAAAAGAAACCATCGGCTGGCCAGGCATGGTGGCTCATGCCTGTAATCCTAGCTACTACGAAGGCAGAGATCAAGAGAATCACAGTTTCAGATCAGTCTGGGCAAAAATTTGTGAGACCCCCCCCCC